GAATCCCTTCAAACACCAGCCAGAGGAACCGAGGGCAGCAGTGCCTGCTGGCACATGTCTGGGATTTCAGGAGACACTGGCTTCTTGGGCTGACTTTGCAGGCCTTGGGACAGCCCTGAGCCTGAGCCTGTCCCTCTACCTAAGAACTGGATGGACCACGTTCAAATGGGTAACCAGCATAAAATGCTAACCCAAAGGGGCCAGTTAACCACCAAGAGGAATGTGGTCACTCATCAGACACTTGGAGCAGGTGCTTGGTGACTAGCCACTTCTGAGGCAGCTTTCACTGAGGAGGGTGGCACAGAGCAAAGGGTTAAACATTCTGAGTTGCCTGGGCCTAGAATGAAAGCCAGCCCCGCCTTCGCCTCCCCCAAAAATTCTGGGAGCTCATTAAAATACCAGAGTCACTGAAAGTGAACCAAACCTGGCATTGGAGCTAATTAAGAGAAGAGGCTTTTTCTACTTGTGCTGGGGAGATAACTGTGCTTAAGTCAAATTCTTCCACTGGCCAGGTGAACACACATGCCTTTACCTACAGAGATGGTCCTAGAAGCACCATTCTCAATCCAGCCAGACATTTTACAGACCATATTCTGCTGCTGCCTGAACTCCACAGGAAGCCCGTGTGCCTGCCCTAGGACATACCCGGCAGCCCCAGGCATTGGTGTCAACCCAGCAAGGAACACAAGCTTGTACTCTCTTGCCCTTTGGCCTCAGACAGTTCTCAGCCCTCGGCGCCATTCCAGAACCTGAGAAACTGCCCATTAATGGCCACTGACAGCAAAAGAACCAAGTGAAGAGTCAGGGTTGGGAGGGCAAGCCAGCCATACCATCACAACTTTAATTAAACCCAAGGCTGGGAATTAAAACAAACAAAATTCTGTAGACACGCCTGGGCTGCACCAGACCATTTATTGACACATACCTTCCAGGCTTTCCACAGGATCAACCTCCTCAGTGCCTCTCCTGACCACCCCAGCCTAAGCAGCCACAACTTCCTCCAACTCCAAGCCACCCTGACACCAGGTATTGGCAGCAGTTTGCTTTGTTATGCAGCTATGGCCCCAGATCTGTCTGTAAACATGTCTCCTCTCTTCACCTGGACTACCAGGGCCTCTAGGGACAGGATGACATATTTGAGCCTCTTGAAGTTCTGGCATTTTCTATCGCTGTCTTCATGGCCTAATCCAGGGCCTCACATGCTGTCATGGCCCATACCATGCCCATGGAAGATAGCACTAATCTATCCCAGCATTCCTTGGCATCCAGTCTCAAATCCTTGATGGCACAGAGTTCAGGCAGCCACTACTGATCAATCAGAATTGATGCTCAGTGTAAAACCAATCTGTAAAACTTAATCCAGTGGTTTTCAACTGGGGCAATTTTGCCCCCCAAGAAACGTTTAGTAGTAGTGGTGGGATATTTTGGGTTGTTACAACTGGAGAGAGTAAGTAGAGGCCAGGATACTGCTAAACATCCTACAGTGTTCAGGACCAGTCCCCCACCACCCCAGCAGACTTCTCCAGCCCCAAATGTCACTAATGCCAGATCTGAGGAATCCTGGCTTAGTCTGACAAATAGTTAGTGATATATAATTTATCATCCAAACTAGGATGCTTTAGAAAATGAAAGGGGGTACTATTAATAATTGTAGGACAACTAGCCAAAGTAAGGACTGTACAGCAAACCCAAGCATTTAAGGGATTAAAGGAGGAGGAAGGTCCCTGGGAAGGGTCAAAGAGCTGTCTCATAAAAGTCCTCAGACAAAGCCACCAACTACCCTATTTGGCAAAATAAATGCTAGTATATCATAAGCCACAGTCAGCTCAGGAAGGAAACCTTTGTCTACTTCTTGTTTAAAAAAAAAAGCAGAAAAGGAACCTTCTGGCCATGCCTTTTAAGATGTAAACAACACAGAGTAAACCTGCTCTCCCCGCCTCTATAAAGACAGGTAGGCAGAATATACCTAAGACTTGACCCCAAAATGGACAGACTTCAACATCCTGCACAGTGGAGGCTCCACTACCAACAGCTGACTTACAGTAAGAAACACAGGCTTCTCTTGAAAAACTCTACTAGTGAGCCACCTTGTCGTGACACTGGCAACTTCTCTTGCTAACTTCCTCCCCGCCTCAAGAACAAGAACTTGCAGCTGACGGCTTTGAGGTCCACTGTGCATAAGAAGGAGGAACTTTGCAAAATGTCCTTAACCAACATGGGAGCTAAAGCACTATAGCCAGCACACTGCAAAGCAGCAGGAAAGAGGGAACCCTCTGACTGCAGGTTAGAAACACACCAACTCATCATCTGCACAGATCATTAAAAAGAAAGCAGGAACAATAGGTTCCCACAAGTGCAGATCCATTTCCCACCCCAATCTCTACAAGATGAGATGCATCTGCTTGCCCTCATGGTTTGGGGCAGCTCCTCCTTCCCACTAAGGCCTTTCTGTCACCAAAGGAAAGCTCCATATCCCTTTTCCCCAATTATTCCCAACTTATGCGAGTTTTCAGACCCTTTTCCCAATATTTTTGTTGTTGAAAAATAAAAATTGAAAAATCTCTTGGGGAAAGAATCCCATAGGTTATCTGAAGAACATCTGGAAGTCAGTTCCAACGACTCCGACTCCTGGAGCCATGTTCCACACGATCCTGTTACAGTCATAATGGCCTAAAAGGGAGGTAAGCCCGTTTGCTGGATAGCCGCTTGAATCTGAATCCAAGTGTGGGAACATGCCCTATTCAGTAGTTCAGATCTCAGGAAGACCCCAGAGTACACTTCTTGCACTAAGCCAAAGAAGAAAGCCAGGAGAAAAGTGACTCATAACCTCTAGAGACAAACATTCAGCCTCTTCTGGAATCTCACAAAATGTTCTTCCGCCAGACTGTTCTCATTAGCACTTTCAAACAGACATCCTACTTTTAAAAACTAAAGGGCTGGCTTCTGCAAAGAATTTTGATAGACATGAATGTAAGCCAAACGTTAGGCCAAACTACATCCTACCACCTCTGCCTAGATGGAATACAATGCTTAAAGAAAAAAGAATACATTAAAACCACTATCAATATACAACAGGGAAATGTAGCTGTGTCTCAAAGTTAGATTTGAGTAGGACTACATGTGCCAGTTACCTGGCTGATTCCAAGACTATAGAGGCAATGTAAGGCCTAGCCATATCAAGGCAAGAAAAATAAAAGGGTAAACACTCAAGTCAAAAGTAAATCTAGCAGAGATCTTCTCCCTAGAGAAGAAAAGAGTAGAGACTTGCCAGGCACTGGAGACAGGTGGAGCAGGTACAGAACTCTGAAGCAGAAAGACCTAGTACAGAAATGCAAGGAGTTCCCTGTAGCTGGGAGGTTAGCAAGATGGGCAGGGGACCAACTGTAAAGGGCACTGCATGCTGCTGGAGGGTCTGAGTGCTGTCTCTGGGGCAATGAGGAGCCTTCTCATGATTTTTCAAGATCTGCACTCTAGAAAGGTGACCAGCTGCTAAAGGCAGAGGGAGGGCTCCATCAGAGTGAAGGTTAAGAGGCCAGAGCAACAGCACAGGCTAAGAATTATGAAAGCAGGAACTAAGGCCAGGGCCATGAGGGTAAGAAGATGGGGGTGGAATTGGAAATGTTAAAAGAGAGAAAAACTATAGTGAGTGTTGGCTAAAGCCAGTGTAGTGGTAAATGCCTATAATCCCAGTACTCTACAAACTCAGACAGGAGGATCAAGAATTTGAAGCCAGCCTGAACTACGTAGGAAAATCCTGTCTCAAAAACAAGACAAAAGTTTGGCACCAATGGCTCACACCTGTAACCCTAGCTACTCACAAGGCAGAGATGAGGAGGATCACAGTTTGAAGCCAGCCTGGGCAAAAGCTTGCATGAACCTATCTTAAAAAAACCCCATCACAAAAAAGGACTGGTAGAGTGGTTCAATGTATAGACCCTGAGTTCAAACCCAGCACTGCAAAAGAAAATAAGGGCTGGTAAAGTGGCTCAAGTGATAAGAGTGCCTGCCTAGCAAGTCCTGAGTTCAAGTCCTAGTACCACCCAAAAAGGACAAAGGAAAAAAAAAACAGAAAAAAAGTGCTGGCTGACTTTAAAAAAAGGGGGGTAAGGGAGAAAAGAAAGTGTGTGACAAGCTGGTCCCAGTCTTGGAGAACATCAGCATAGGAAGAAGAAGGAGGGAGTAGCTGGTGGTGACCAAGTGATAGTGTCAGACAGTGACAGCAGACACCACTCCAGTGGATGAGGCTACCATCCAGAGCAACGCTTGGAGAGGGATGCAGAATAGGTGACTATGGGATCCCTGAGAGGGCTGCAGGAAGAACAGGTATTTTCTCAGGGAACAGGCAAGAATGATGCAAGGGAGAGGTAAAGGAAATAAGAACCCATGAATACAGAGATTTAGCAACATCCAAGTGGGTGACCTCTGTCAGACAGTCTGGCCAAGCGGTGGTGGAAGAGATGTGGCCAGGAGGCAAGAACAGATGCAGGGAGCACAGACACTTTCTCCAAAATGCTTCTCTGTGATGGGACAGAGAGCATAGGGGAGTCAGAAGGAGGCAGAGGCCAGGACATGACTTCACATTGTTTATTAATGGAAAATGCCATAGTATATTTCCAGCCATGGGTAAGAAGCAAGAGAAGATAAGGGAAACATGGAGAAAAGGGAGTAACTGATAGAAGAGGGGCCTGCAAGAGAGCAGACAGGACTGGTGCAAGTGCTCTTAAAAAGAATAAGAAACCAGGAAAAAAAATTAGGAAATGTACTCTTTAAAGCTTCTAGAACATTCTACCAACATATAAACATGTCATCTGGGCAGCAGTTGGCCCTGGCTTTCCTATGATGGCATGCAGACTTCCATGAAGCACTGTCCTATCACCTGCCTCTAGATCAACATGACACCAAATGTGAATGAGCACCTGCAAAGGTGTCAATGAGGCCACGGGTGGAGGGAAGGGAGACTGGGAAGGCCAGGCAATGCCTTCCTGCCCCAAGGGACTCACCTTGCATCATACTCCTGTAGGCAGTGTCTGTGATGGCATAGATGTGGGGTGGCATCTCGTGCCTCTTCTTGCCCTTGTACATTTCCACGATCTCTTCAGAGTAAATAGGCAGGTTCTTGTAAGGATTGATGACCACACAGAAAAGGCCTGAATAGGTCTGAAGAAAAAACAGCAAAGAGGAATGGGCTAGCAAGTCTGTTCTTAAACCCATACAGTTTGCAGAGAAGTATCTGCTGCTTTCAAGGCCCCCAAGACAGCCTGATATGAAAGTGCTCCCTAGTACCCCTGTTCCTGCTGCAGGTGGCAGGGTACACCAGCATCCTCCCTCTGCTCCTGCTCAACTGCAGGCGGCTGCCAGCTTTGTATGCTGACAAGTACACATGGGGCAAGATCTACTGCAAAGCAGACAGAAGTCCAGTTACAAAACTCAGATCCTGGGACAATAGAGATGTGTTTGTCATCGTGAGAGAAGTACAAAGACAAAAGGGTTCAGCTGCGGTCCAGAAAACAGCACAGGAACACAAATTATACTGAAGGACTCTCAAGGACTTTTCCAGGCTTGGGAGAATTCAGTGTGCTCCTAAATCGATCAGATTCTCTGCAGACTAGTGGATCGTTGCTAGCTTTCACCCTGGGACCTTCTAGACATTCACCTGCAAATCCCTCAAAAGCTTAAAGACCACTTTCATGTTCCCTGTGAGCCTTCTCCAAGACTCAGGTCTTTGTGGAGGGGAACTCAATAATTGAGCACCTTTAGACAGGCACTGATGGCTCACACATGTAATCCCAGCTACTTGGGAGGCTGAGATTTGGAGGATCGAGGAACTATTTGCCCAGGCAAATAGTTCACGAGACCCCATCTTTATTTATTTTGGAGGCACTGGGATTTTGAACTCAGGGCCTCATGCTTGCTAGGCAGGTAATTCTTCCCTCTTGAGCCACTCTACCAGCCCATTTTTTATGACAGGTTTTTTTTTTTTCAGGATAGGGTCTCTTGAACTATTTGCCTGGGGCTGGTTATGAACCAAGATCCTCCTGATCTCTGTCTCCTGAGTAGCTAGGATTACAGGCGTGAACCACCAGTGCCTAGCTGAGAACCCATCTTTAAAATAACCAGAGCAAAATGGACTATAGGTGTGGCTCAAGCAGTAAAGCACCTGATTGTTAGTGTGAAGCCATGAGTTCAAACCCCAGTCCCACCAAAAGAAAAAAAAAAAATTCAACACCTTTAATGCAAGATTACCAAAAATCTACCCAGTAATCCGTCTGACTTGACCAGGTCAAATTCAGCAGATCCTTGGAGTCAGATATCCCAAGTTCAAATTTCTTTTTTTTTTTTTTTGTTTTTTTTTTTTTTTTGCACTTGGTAGGCAGGTGTTCTATCACTTTAAGCACATCCTCATCAAGTTCAAGTTTCTTAAGCCCTTCCTCCCTCCACTTCTCAGACTGTAAACTGGGCACAGGTAAAAGTCTATAGCTTATTGGGTGGCTACAAAAATTACTAAGATAAAATACTGAACACAGCACCCGCACTAGCTCTGCATAGATCACAAGAGCTATTTTCCACAGCAACAGTATATAGAGGTTGTCTTTCCTTGGTGTCTGTGAGTAAACCCATACTACCTTGTGACTACTTATCTTTTTCCTACTAAATATCCTGCTATTTTGTTCTTCCACAGTTCTCTCCTCCACCACATACACAAAAATGACACAGCCCTAACAGCTACAAGTGACCCAAGACCACCCAGGTGGCATGTGTTCAGTTTGAGGGACAAACTCCTTTTCCTTTTATTTTTTTGCAGTACTGGGGTTTTGAACTGAGTTCCTCATGCTTGCTAGGTAGGCTCACATAAACCATTCCGCCAGCCCTATTTTGTATTAGGTGTTTCAGAGATGGGGTCTCACAAACTATTTGCCTGGGCTGGCCTCAAACCACAAGCCTCCTGATCTCTACCTCCCAAGTATCTATGATTACAGGAGTGAGCCACCGCCAGCCAGCTACAGCTTTCTTTAAGCAGCTGTAGCAACCCAATTACCATCTTCCTGAGAAAAGGGTCCACAAGTGAAGCACTCCATGCTATGCACCACCTAAAGCCCTGACTCTGTAAGGGACAATGGAAGGTCACAAAGCATTGGGTCAAACTGGGGACAAACTCAGGCCTCAGGACCACCAATGCCAACCCCCTTTAATCACAGGGGCCAGCTCTCTAAACACCTTAGTCTTTTCCTTTTTGCTTTCCTCATTCCAAGCTGTCTACACCTTAACTGTTCAGTTTCACCCCCTAATCTGAGAGCATTCAGCATCTGAGCAGCTGTACCATGGTGTCGACCAAGGTTTTTCTATCTGTGCCCTCTGTAGTTCTCCCAAACTCAGGCTGGATCTTACAAGTGAATCCAATGACAGGGTCCATACCCGAGCCAGGTATGAACAGAGGCTATTCTCTGGCATTGGCCAAAGGCTGTGTCCTTGGAATTCCCAAGCAGAAGTTACACTGAGGGCAGACCCCAGAGGAGACCACACACTGGTCTGCATGCAAGAGAGTGGCAGAGCTCAGATGCAAACAAGAGGATCTGGCTGCCTCCTCGGTTTGCAAGAAGGGACATGGGCCCTTGATTCCCTTCTTCCCAGAAGAATCAACCATTTGTTCTCCCTCCAACTACTCTCTTCACAAGGGATCAGAAAAGTCCTAAAGCAAAGAAATCCAAACATCATGATGGCAACTCGTGGGCTTGGTTTTTGCAGGAAGGAGTGAAGCAGGGACCTTCTCTGATGCTGTGTGAACACTGGGTAGCATTAGGTAGAAATAAGACATAAGGCCAGGGAGTATCAAGGTCATCCCAGGAGCTCCAAACAATCTAGTTTTGTCCCTAGACTTTGATAAAACCCATACTCCAGGAAAGCCAGCCCAATGAAAGCCAAGGACACATGGTCACACGTGTAGGAGTGCCATGAAGCCAGATGTTTGGAAACAGCTGGCAGCGACAGTAGAAGGGGGTGGAGAGTCATTAGGACAAGTCTTTCTGACGGCTGGGTGGGCAGATGGTCCTACAGAGGGGTCTACAGGGGTTTGGAGTTCTCTGGGCTAATTCCATCAAACGAGGGAGCATGATGCACCAAAGCTCTACAGGATGAGCACGCAGCATGGGTGGAAGGAAGGCGCTGCACCAGACTCTCACGGGGGCACAGGCACTGAGCAAAGGGCTTTGCTCCCACACAGCCACGCCAGGGAGCTGCTCCATTCACAAGCTACAGAGGCTCTTTGTGCCCAACCACCCCCTGTCCCAGGGCCTCACCCCTGAGAGGAAAAGACAGAGCAGCTGTGCCGTGGGATTAGCCATGCCTCCCACAATGCCAGGCAAACGCACAGCAGGAAGGCTCCTGAGGTCACAGCGCAGAACCTCGCGTGCAGAGAGGTGGACTATGAATGAGGCAGCAGCCCTGCCCAGGCAGCCATCAATGCCTTTGATCTTCACACAGCTCTGCACCTGCTAAATCTTCACTAGGCCAACTGCAGGGACAATCAACTTCCAGTGATGCTGCTTAGAAGGAGGCTGGTCTGCAGCAGGAGTAACTGCACGGGGAGGTGATGGCAAAAGGAGCAAAACTGCCCTCATCAGAGTTCTGGAGAATGGGTCCCATTCTACCATGACACCCACCTACAGAGTGAAGCCCTGCATGAGTCTTGCAGAGCAAACTCAGCAACCAATACTGAATGCACTTTGATAACTAATATTCCCAGGTGGCAGGGAGAGCCTATTGCAGCCAGCTGGCTTAGGCGAGCAAAGGTGGCTGAACTGTTTCACACCCAGCAACTTTCAGTGGGACCCAAATTAAGCAGAGACACCAGCAGGAGGCCAGTAGCGGAAGAGGAGTTACCTTCACTTACAACACACAGCAGCAGCCAGAGGCCAGGCCGTGCTTCAAGCCAGGTGCTGGCTAGGAGCTTCACAGTTCTCACAGATCTCTCACAGGTGAGAAAGTGAGGGTCCATGTCACCATGTCACAGGTCATTAAGCAGCAGAACTGACTTTAAAGCAGGTCCTAGAGGCTCCAACTCTCCCACCTTGACTGCTCTGCTGCACTGAACAGAGGCCGTCCCAGCTGAGTGGCCGGCAGAGTGAGCATGACATGACCACAAAGCCTGCCAAGAAGAGCATCCCTGACAATAGGACCATGGCTCCTGTGCCATCTTGGTAGACAGACAGGGCTTTCTTTTTCATTCTTCTGCTGGTCACTAATTCTGAATGTCAGTGGCTGATGTTCCTGAGGGATAGGGCTTTTAAATTGATCCATAAATATTCTCATCAAGAAATCATTTAAGTGCCTGCCTTGCAAGTGCAAAGCCCTGAGTTCAAACCCCAGTACTGCCAAAAAAAAAAAAAAAAGGAAATTGAGAGGACTGGCGAGTGGCTCAAGCCATAGAGTGCCTCCCAATCAAGAGCGAGGCCCTGAGTTCAAACCCCAGTAACACACACACACACACACACACACACAAAAGAAACTAATGAGAGATAAAGCCTGGAGTTCCAGTCTCGGCCCCGCCAACACCTCAGCATGACCCCACATAAGTCCCTTTCTATCTCCAGGCCTCAATTCCTCCCACCTATCATATTAGAAGGATGGGCTAAGCTGGGCCAGAGAGAAGGACTTTTCCAATAAGATTATTAGTGTATCTGCTTTCCGATAGGTCATAACTAATCAGGCTCATACCCGAAGGCAGAAAATGAGACCTCATTTTCTGTGGCTGACTTAGCAATCATCGATTTGAGGCAATGAGGTCTTTGCATGTGACCTAGAACAGTCAGAGCTTCTGGGCAACCCAATATGGCCCATGCCTCTCAACTGAGGACTGCAGCACATTCTGGGGTGCAGTCCCATGGGATAGGGAGCACCCTGTGGACACATGCTGAAGTCGCCCTAAGGTCAAATGGCTGCCCTTGTGGGAGTCCTTAGTCCTTAGTTCATCCATAACAGGATAAGCCTGCTGCCTCCTTCTACTACATGTGAGACCATAAGCAAGCCCCTGGGTCTGAGACTTGGTCTTCCCGTCTGTGAAATGAGAAGCCATAAAACTCCAGATGTTTTACTCCCTCCAGTTCAAAAGCATTTTGGGAACTGTGTTACTCAGACCTGAGACCAAGGAGGCCAAGGTAGTTACAGTAGCATATTTAAATTAAGAGTTACTTTAGGAAAAATTAGAACCAGATACTTCTTCCCCACTGGGAACAGAACCAGAAAGAAACACTTGATTTGAGCAAAGGAATGTGATCCCAGGTCCAGAAGAGACCAGAGCCTGTTACCAAGGAGCCAGGAAGTGCTCACCTCCCAACAGTCTCCCACCGAACCCTGCGGAAGAGGAGACATTCCCGTCTGCTGCACGCTCCGGGCCTTCGTGCGTGCTGCTCTCTGGATTCTAACTACACTTCCCGAGGCGAGTCTGGCATGGAATCACTGCTGCAGTGCTGGACAGAAACGTGATTCCCTCTTGGTGGCTCACCACTGCTGCAAACACAGCTCGCAAGAGGAGGCCACTCAACAGGAACAAATGGCAGAGATGCCAAAATAAGACTGGCCTGAACTGGGGTACGGGTAGGTGACCAGGTGGTGCAGAAGGAGTAAGGTGGGATCCAGTAGACAGCACCTCTGCAGTAGAAGGGATTTATCACACTAGCCTGTCTCCACTAGATTTGAGTTCCAACACTAGCAGGTGGGCCACCCTGAGACATGTCATGTTCTCCCTACAGTTGACCTAAAACAGGCTTCCCATCGTGCGTTCAGTGCATAGGAAAAAAAAAAAAAAGTAACGCTATGAGAACATTCCACTAGGACGTCACTAGGACGTTCAGACACTAAAGCCTGAGACTCTCCCCGCCCCCCAGGCTATCCTTAGAGCCCCTTCTCAATCACAGAGCCAGAGCCCAGGCACAGGGGGGGGGGGGGGGGACTGGAAGCCCAGTGCCCTCCTCTTTGGAGCCACTTACGTAAATAAGCCCTGAGTAGTAACGCTCCTTGAGGTTGTGCAGCACCGAAGCTTCGTTGAGGCATGTAAGCTCTGCCATGTCCTCCACCTTGGAAAACTTGGGCGGATTCATCTTCTGGATATCATCCTTGTTCACCTTCACCTTCTTCCCATTCTCCACCAGCTCCACAATGGCCTCCTCGCCCACCTCCTCCTTGAGGCTGGCTGGCTCGAAGCCACTCTTGTCGGAAGGCACCCATACCAACTTCTTGGCAGCCCAGTCTGCCTGGGCCAGTGGGTTATTGATGAAGTTTTTATCCACATAGAGATATTTATCAGCAGCTTGCTGCGCCATGGTGACTCACAGCCAGGACCTGAGGGAGAAAAAAAGGACAAAAGGTTAGCCAAACAAGGACTCTTATCTCTTCTCTCTATAAACTCTAACACAGAGTTTCTATAGACCCAGGCTGTACATTTGCAAGAATTTTGTTGTTCCACACTTTTGGAAGACAGATGTGTGTCGTGATCAAAACAAGCTGACAGTGAGGGTTTTGTTGGAAATTAATGGTAAGGTGCAGCGTTCAAGGGCTGATACACAATCAGGTAAATCTATAACAAAACTACTGTGCAAAATGATGAGTGTTAAAGAGTCTAAAAGACAGTCACTATGCGCCACACCTGCTAAGATAGCAGAGTGACTGCACAATTTAGGACTTCCAACAGAAACCAGTTTCAGACTAGCCAAAGACGGCAACTCACTACAACCACACAATGGTAGAAGTTACCAATTTCAAAAAGCTTTTTCATATTTCAGAGTCAACTAAGGCAAGCAATAAAAGAAAATAACACCAATATATACTGCTACCAGATTCTAATTCCATATTGACAATACAGCCCAAAGAAAGAATAGCAGAAAAGAACTCAAGCTCCAAGACGCATTATCAAAGTGAAAAGGTAACCACCACAATTTATGGGTCAGGAGAACATACCTACACTTGTGATTTGCTTTTTTCAAAACTCATTTGCAAAATAAAGATGAAGAAATAATAATCCCTTACATCTGTGTGTTTTCATCATTCATGAAGTGCTTTCACATACTACCTGGATCTTCGTCATAACTAGGTAAGGTACATTTTATGATGCCCATTTTACAGACAAGCAGGCAGAAACTCCCTGAGTGGAGGGGTCTATCCAGAGTTGCAGAACTCTGACTCTTAGCCTATGACCTTCCCATGCCTAACACAGCAGTCATTACAGCGCACTACAATCCTGAGGGAGACTGTGGCTTTGAATGAACCAAAACCAGGACCTGAAACCATGTCTGAAACACTGAGTCCTGGCCACCAAAGGAAGTAGTTAGAAAGTTCCCTGTCCAGGCTCCTGACCCAGAGAAGTTTCTCTGTGAGATCAAGACCCTCCCCACTCCACCTCCATCCCATCCCAGAAATTCAAGAAAGCCCAGATCCAAATCTGTAGTCACTTGACTTTCATGTTTCCAGATCTAACAGGGACTTGGAGGTTGGAGGCTTAAGAGGCAGAGAGGAAAAAAAAAAAAAAAAAAGAAGTTAGCCACCCAGGCCTTCTCCTCTGGCTTATTAAATGGTTTCCAGATCAAGACAGAGGGGTTGCCCTGGCCTCACTCATAGGGGCTATTTTCCTGGAAACCTGGTGCTCACAAGCTCCTCCAAAAAGGAGAGAGACAAGTCCAAGCAGCCTCTGCAGCCTCACCAGTCCCTCATATGATGACTTTCTTTATACCCCAGCACCAGCAAACCCTTAGCCCTTACAGGGAACCAGGCAAGGACCATGGGAGAAAGGGCAGAGCAAGGAGTAGTCAGCAGCAAATAAGGCAGGCCCAGGCAGCTATGAAACCTGCAGCCTTCATCTTCCCTGTGCAGTGAGGGCCAGGGTCCACCTGAGCAGCAACACCTAGGCACCACCAGCTTAGGTTCAGCTGTCAGTATATCATATAGGTAATCCCAGCTTCTCTTTGCCACAGAAAATCCAAGTTGTCCTCTGCCTTCCTGTACTCTGAGCACCGGCCAGATGGCATCCCCAAGGCCTCCCATTGAGTCCTGCCCAGTTCACAAACGTACGATGAGCAGAGTTGCAAGTTCTCACCACTGCTAGTTCCCAACTTTTTGCAGACCTCAAATTTGTAAAGAATAGGACAACCTCCCATCAATGTGTACCTCCCCCAACAAATCCTAAGTCTACTGCTGGTTGAGATTCACTGCAGAGCCAGAGATGGTGACATGAACTCACAAGTTCAAGACCAGCCTAGGCAACACAAGGAGACACCATCTCAGAAAGAAAGAAAGAAAGAGAAAAAAGAAGTTTTACCACACATGTCAGTGAAGGCATCACTGCCCTTCACAAGATCTGTACAAGAGAAGGGGGAAAGGGACAATTATTAAGTATCTGCTAACCAACATCAAAGGTCAGTTTGCTCACCTCCTCACCTTGGAAAAAAGCTTTATCATCTCCAATTTATAAATGAGGAAAAAGGCTCAGAGAGGGTGAGTCACTTGCCCAAAGATATTCAGTCTAGTAGTGGAGTGGGATTCTAACCCAGATGTCTGGCCCTCATGCCTGCTGAGTGAGACATGAGGAGTACAGAGGAATGCATTCCACAGCATTCAACAGATGCTTATTGGACCTTATCAGGCACGCTGACAGCAAGCCTTCCCAGGTAGGTCATATGGCCTGTCAAAAGGGGAGTGTAGTACAATTCAGCATCTCCCTCCATCAGCTTGCTACTGTGAGGGTGACAGCTTTCATCAAAGTCAACTTTACTCCAGTAACACCAGTAACACTTTGCTGGTATGACCATCAGCAAAGAACCCATGTGGGAGTGAGACCCTTGGCAGGCCCTGGGCTTCTCCAGGCTGCAGGCTCAGGGCCTCAGCCTATCCTAAAAATCAGGGTGAACCTGGCCCTTGCATCAATGAGTCTGCTGAGGGGCCATGAACATGACAGCAATTGGCAGGGGAAGAATCCCACCCAAGCAACTGCCCCTACCCTACTCATCGCCCTACCCCACCGTTACACTTCAGTGTACAACAGTCAGAGGCCAGCACTACCCGCCCCAATGACTGGAGACCAAGCCACAATTACTGTAAGGGAAAGACACATGATGCATCCCTTTGGGGATGGGCCGCCCTTCAGAGCCCACTTCCATGCACCTCCCTCCCAGTAGAGCACTTTGCTAAATGAGGCTGGGCTCCTGCTTGCAGGCCAAGGACAGAGCTATTTCATCTCAGCAACTTTGCTGGAATGACGTGCATCAGCAGCAGTGCCAAGATCAATATATGGGTTGGACGGGTGGGTAGGGCCACAGAGGTCATGATACACAACGGCATTTCCATGAAAGGCCCCTCACCAGCCTGCGTGGGAACATCCACCTTCACTGACTCCAGCTGGGCTTCTGTTCCCAGCTGCAGCAAGTGAAAAGACTTCTGGGACCTGGTGTATGTGTGCCCAGACAGGCTTATGCTCACCTCTCCAGGGAGCAGGTGGATGAGGCTACCTTAGCAATGATCCACATACCCATTTATAAGCTGGAGCTAGCAAAAAGCTGCTCAACATTCAATGAGTAAGAAGCACTAGAGAGAGGCAATCCACTCAATGAAGAACCACCATGCAGCTACTTTTCCCTACCCTGGTGTGGGACTGTGCTAAACAGCCTCTTTTGAAACTTGTTTAAGCTGCACATAATATAGAGGTTTTCAAAAATGAAAGAAAAAAAATCCCCCTATAAACTCCTGAAACACCTCCTCCTGCCCCTCAAAAGAGTCAATTTTCTTTTTTTTTTATGGTCCCTCTACTCCTCACTTATAGAAACTTTTGGTTTTTAACTATCATAGGCAAAGGAAAGAGTTTCAGTGTTGTATCTTACCTACTTTGACCTTTTTCTCATAGGGCTACAATTTGCTTGTTGATCATTTTTATCCCAGCACTTCATTTGCCAGTGATGATACAGAAGCTCAGAAAAGGAAGTAACTCTACTCAGTTACACAGCTAGGGGGAGCAAAGACTTGAACCCAGAACACCTGCCTCCAAGGCCTCCTTGAGGATCATTCAAAGGCTGCATAACATTCCTAGTGCACCTCCCTATGCAAGCTCCCAGAGCATTAGTTATGGAGTGAAGAAACATTTTATGGCCCCAAGATGTACTGTCTAATCAGCTTCCAAGTGGGTTGATTCAAGATGTGCTGACATTTGGGCAGAGTACACATGTAAGAGCCACACCACACCAGCAGTATCTGCCATTGAAATCACGGTTCACAAGGAAGCCCTGTGGCTGGGTTAGGGCACCTTGTGGAGAGCCTTGCCTCTGCTGGAGGGGGACAGCAGGCGCTCCAAGAGTTAAGGGGAGCAGCAGTTCTGGCCCACTGGAGACTGGTCAGGCTGGGCCGCCCTTCCTCAGCAGCTTCCTGTGGGTGCCAGTCCAACTCCAGAAACCCGAGCAGTTGCCTTTTTAGGCCATAATTGAGCAGGACACAACCAGAAGCTAAATTAGGACTCTCAGGAAATGATGAAACTGAAAGTAAAAAGATTGACCAAAAACCTCTTCATTCAACCCAAAACGTAATTCCTTGATTACCTGCCTTCCCTGCCTCCCCCCAAACATTTATTGGATCTTCTATTCCTCCCAATTTTCCCCAAGAATCCTTCTCCTCCCTTACTCTGTTTCTCTCTTTACTTATTCATGTTTATTCAGAAAACAAATTGATGGCATATTAAAGACAGGAATTATGCTGCTAAGCCAAACCTCTGGTGGAGACACTGAGATTTTCCATTCCTAGAGAACCAGGACTGATGTAAAGTCCTCCAAGGCCAAGTTCTAGGCTGGGAGCCTTCAAGTTGTCACACTCATAATGAAGCCACCACCTACCAAGGCTAGCTAACAAGCACTCTCTTCTCTCACACCATTCTGGCAATAATTTCATAAGGTATAAATAATTGTTTTCACTTTGCAAGCAAGGGCACAAAACCCAGTTTTAAAATCAGACCTGTGAGGTCTCAATTCCCTGCGCAGTTTTCGCTTGAACTCTTTCCTGGTGATGTGACACGGTTATGGGAAGAAAACAAGAGAGAATCCCTCCCCCATTCCCCATCCCTAGTTAAGCAAAAAATTAAGAATGTCTCCTCAAAGCTGTACACCCCATCTCCCTGTGCTGGCTTGCACAAGGGACTCTGTACTTATAACTTAAGCCACTAGATCTAAAGTAAGGAGGTGACAGTGTGACTTTGGGTGAACCTTTGGAGTTCTCTGAGCCAGCTCCTCTAAAGAGTTGGATTAACCAGTCACCAATGGCTGCTCATGCCAAGACTCCAGTTCCGAGACCCTGCGGCCTCCACTTAAGACACT